CTGACCTCATCAAGGGATGACCTATTAGAATCCTTGTTGGATAGTTTTCTATGCTTAGATAACATATGTTTTTCCCAACCAGACTGGCCGAGCACGTCAAAGCATGGTCTAGTATCAACAAACATCGTTTGCTTAGTATGGTCCACAAGGGATCACACTTCCACTGAGTTCATGTTCCACTATATCATTTCATTTTATAAGCACTCATAAGACCTTTAATGACCGCACTCACCCAACACTAGTTATCTAGAATTATGGAAGGGTACACTGATGCGAGTTGGAGTATAAAACTCCAACATTCACTATTTACATCCGAATAAGTTTTCACCTTATGATGTGAGTAGCATCATGGGGTCAAAAAACAAACCTGTATATGAGGAGCTTGAAATTACGCTCTTAATAATATCTATAACTTGTTTTGGTTGGGGTACCCTTGATGGATTCACTTATGTAAGTATGGAAGTGAGGCCACTTCTTATAAGATGGGACTCATCCCTAGAGCACATATGAAATTGAGATAAAACTCAAAGCTCATTATGAGATGGCGAAAAAAAGATAACTAAGATTTATGTTATTTATGTGTTGTGTGACTGGTCTTTTGGATGAAGTCCCTAGTTCATTATACGCTTTCATTGAACTTGACGTACTTTATAGTAAACATGCATTAAGTGAAGGCTCTAGTTGAAAGATATCTTTAATTTATGTGAATAGCCTATGGTTAGCATATGGTTCCCCAATGTTTTCATAATAAGTTGAAATAAGTAAAGGAAATGGCCTATTTTTTATTTGGAAAAATGCTAGGTGCTATTTCAAAATAACATGCCTTTTGAATCTTAATATTTTGGTAAATGTATTTTTGTCTTATTTGTAGAGAGAAAATAATGACTTTTTTATATTGAAAAAAATCATAGAAAAATATATGACAATTATCGGTTAGAAAATTAAAAAGGAAGTTTACGTTCTAGGCTTCAGTGGCACTGCATTGGATAAGCCAAAAAACAAGATATCAAAACTCAGCTCTCCCTTCTAAATTATCTACTTGAAGCTCAATAAATCCTAGTTCTAATTGAAATAAGAGTGCAAATTAAAAGAAATTTTGTAATAATATTTTTGTTCTTGATAAAATGAATAATTTCATAAGTACTCTAACGAGTTTTGTAAAGAGCTCCTAAAATCCTAAAAATATAAAATAATATAGAGTTCTTTAAAAACTAAAAAACAACCTAAAGATAAACCTTAAAATTAAAATGAAAATAAAGTAATGCATCATTTGAAATTAAAAAATAAATAAAAAATAAATAAAAATTTCTGCAGTAGTTTCTTGTCTCTCACTGAAGAATGGATAAAAAAACGTTATGTTTAAATGTAATAATACCATCTTCCATGTGTCATGAGAATCAAAGAGAGAGAAAGCTTATACGAAGCACAAATAGCATGTGACGCCCATGCGCACATGCATTTGTGAAGGCCCTAGGGCGCTTAAATCAAACCACACTTTCTGCGCATAAAATGCCCCTAGCTCGTGCAACTGTGTGAGTCAAGCTCATAGCTCGTTATCATTTACATGAAGGCCAGTCCCATCAATCATTGTGGAAATATATGTGCTATCAATGATGCAATGGGTGCTCCAATGGGAGTGAACAAGAATTGTTTGGCAGCACAGATAAGTATACACATTGTTGTTCTCACTGATAAAAGAAGCTAGTAAGCATGAATGTTTGTTTTTGGGAACTCAAAATGGTGTGGCTGCTGGGCATCTAGTTGCTTTAATTGGCACCTGATGAACCATTTTTCACGGTTAAAACTGAGAACCAGAGAGTCACAACTCTTCAGCTAAGTATGGCCATATTGGGTGAAGATGAAATGATATTTTATCTCTAAAAATAGGACTTGAACTACACTTTATATAGAAATTTCTACCGAATTTTGCATACTGATGTACCCTAATTTGAACCATGTGCGCACTCTTTGGAGCTCTAGATCTTGTTCCACTCATGCATTTGTACATGTAAGATAACATTCAATCTTTCAAATTTCCTAAGAAACTTAGATGTATACCAATTTTTTTAAATAAGGGATCAAATGTTATCCTATAAAAGCAAAAAAATTTCATGCTTGGAAACAAGAAGATTGAAGTTCCCATTGGGATCTCTAAAAGTATTTTCATAACACCCATTATCTTGCCCCTTTTCACACCAGTCAGGCGTCCACATGATTCTTTTCCTGGAGAGCGAGGTTGAGATATGAGTATTAGGTTATAAGCACAATGTACGTGGGTAACATTACTAAAAGGATGAAGTTTATGTAAGGCCAAGGCTTTATGAGAACAAATCTCAAATCCCCGTCTAGTTATGAGGATAGCACTTTCGGCAACATAAATATCTATGATGGGTCGAAAATTAATTTCTACAACTAACAGTAGTAAAATTTGAAACTAAAAAAATGTATGGATCTGTGGATCTATGAACACTTATTTTTAGTGCTAAATAGACGGTCTAGATAATTTGTTACAATATACACTATTTTTAGAGCTTGAAATTATAATTTTTTTTACAACTATAATTTTCAGACCGAGATTATCAATATAAAAGTTTCTAATGCTTGAATTACAATTTTCGATGAGTTATGAGTTGAGGCTTTATTAACCGTGGTAGGGCCGCAGCCCTATCACACCATTTTCCTTAGTGGGAAAGTATATCATTCCTGTTGCCATCTGAGTTCGTACAGTTTGCTTGGAGCAGGTGCCCTTTTATGCGCTGCGTTTTTTTGCAATGACTTAAATAGTGTTTGGGCATCCCTATGATATGCAGACCTCGTACTCCAAGGCAAAGGCTTTTGGTTTCTATACTCCCCACCCTACAATAATATTTACCAAATATAAAAATGGAGAAGAGGGTCACTTCCCATTATTAATAACACAGTACTTTGGGAAAATTATTAGAATAATTATGTGAGATGAACTATTTAACATTGTGTGTTTAGTGTTTGATTTAATATCAATTATGCATCATGATCATGGAATAGTATCAAAATTATAAAATACTAAAAGACCTGGTTTCTATGCGTCCAGGCCCTCCCCAAACCAAGTGCGGCCTAAGAACTCCACCTCATCTGTTAAATAGATGGTGGAGATTGCACCCTTAACTTTTGGTAGGGCAACGGCACACACCGCTTTGGATCCTTATTCAGACCATCAAGTAGGATCAGGTCTAAGTCAAAACATAAAAGAAATTTAAAAATTGCACCATTTTGCACCCAACTAAACTTGAGTGTGGTCAATCTGGTTAGCCTGAACTTAACCCGACCCGATTGTTGCCCTTAACGCTATAAGATGGGTTTACGCTGGACTCATCCCAATTATACAGGCTATGTTTGGTAAACATCCAAAAACAGGCATGGATATGTTTTACATAGGTACAACAGAAAAGCAAAGAAAGAAAGACGAGGGGAAGAGGAATGAGAGCAAAAAGAAAAATAAAAAGGAAACAGGGAAAAGATAAGAAAGAAGGGCTCGCAAGAAGAGCCTAATCTGGCAAGGCTATCAGCAGCATTAAAATCGACGTTGTGGATAAGAAAGTCCAAATGATGATGCCTCATACATCAAGCTAAATAAGTTTATCGAAAACATAGGGCTAAATAAGTTTCTTTTACTGAAAAGGTATATATAAGGTGAACTTTATACAATTGGAGTAAGGCGCACCTCAAAAACTCATCGAAAGAAAATGTTCTTTTGATGCTAAAAAATTGTCAAAATGATCATCTTGATTTGGAGATGTAGAACATGAAAAGGAAAAAGATTTCAAGTTATAAAAATAATGCATTTTGTAATGCATTATCTGGACCATCTATTTTCAATTTTTTTTTATTGTTTATAAATCATCTACACCATATTTTTATCTTTAAATTTTATAGTTATGGGTGATAATAGATTTTAAATGCCAACACAAAGTTTTCTAGCATCTAACGGCTTTCGGCCTAACTTTGAGGTGCGCATTACTTTGATTGTTTAAGGTTGCAGCTTGTGCAAACCTCACCCTTCTTTTACTCTGATTATTACTAAATGGAAAAAGTTTATATAAGGCGCGGATCTTATGTTAATTATATAAGTAAGGCGGACAGTAAAACCTTCTAAGAAAACACTTGTTTTAAGGCTAGAAGACCCTCAAATTGGTCATCTCAACCTTGGATGTATGAATATGCAAAACAAAGCAGTCAGTCTTGAAAATCATGCAACTTGTCATAATACATTATTTGGATTATTTATTTTTATACTTTTCAAGTACTTATAGATCTGTTCGACCTATACCAATTTTGGAGCTTTGAATTTCATGATTAGAGATGAAAGTAGATTTTTAGGCTATCGTAAGGGTTTTTGACACCAAAGTTACATTATCCATTTTGGAGCATTGAATTTCATGATTAGAGTTGAAAGTAGATTTTTAGGCAATCATAAGGGTTTCTGACACCAAAGTTTCATTATTCGTTGGCTTTTGAGGATGTACCTTAATTTATATATTTTTTGGGTAAGTAAAAATTATGGATAAGTCAGTGGGTATTTGGGCCACTACCTTTTGGTGAGAATGAAGTAAAAAACTTCATCATAAGGTTAGTTGGTACTATCATCAAGGCCCCAGCCTATTCTCAATGTGCATTAATTTGATTGTTTAAGATTGACATATTTCATAGCCCACAAGAAGTTTCTAGAAAAATTGACTTGGAAAAATATTGAAAGTAATAACAAAGAGTGTTTTATAAGTCTGTCTCACAAACATTCATCTTTTTCCTATCCAAAATGAATTGAGATTTTATCTTATTTTATTTTCTTTTTATATTTATAATCATGGATCTATACAAATTTGGATCCAAGATCCATATAAAAATTGGATGTTAGAGGGAGCCCGCAGGAGAATACTATTAGTCGGGGGACTCATAAAAACCGGGTCAAAATAATAGTAGTACAAAGCCAAGCTGTTGTCCATCCCAACAGACCTTTAAGTAGGGGAAATAAAATAAGCGAAGGAGTTTGAATGTAGTCCATATACCAGAGCTAAAGGCTGCTGCGATTCGTTGAGATAAAACGGAGAAGGGGTTGTCATTTTTGGAGTGATTTCGATGAGGTGATATCGGTGGCCCTCATCCTCCTCCTCTCTCTCTCTCTCTCTCTCTCATCATCATCAAACTGATATGACATAACCCCAGTTTCTCTCTCATCGCCGCATTCAAAAACCCCAGTCTCTCTCTCTATCGATCATCCCCACCAATTTCTCTCTCATCACCGCATTCATAAACCCACTTTCTCTCTCTTCGTCAATCATCTACCTACAGTTCTTGTTTGCTTCCCAATACATATCCAGGTATTTATCTTGAATCAGTTTTATTACTCTGGTTTTATCCTTGTCATGGTATCTGCTGTTTTAGTGGTTTTTTTGTTTAGAAATCATGCTCAGTCTTGGCTAATAGGCCAAAATTTTCAGTCCCGCATTAAGTCAGTAAAGCTTTGCCGTTGACGCAAATGATCACAAGCTTTAATTGGGTAAAGAAAAAATTGGTTTATAAACCTCAAACCCTAAAATTAGATTCTCCTTAGAGATGCAACTCTCCAAAAATATCAGAGACCAAAGATTAAAGGTAGGGAAAAAAAATCTAATTGCCCTATTTTTGACTCTTCTGAGTTCACATTATTTACCAATTAAAAAGGTATTACAGATGAAACCTCTCTCAAGAAAAAATGGCGTTACTTAAAAATCAGTTTTGGATTCTAGGGAGCTTCAGTTGGAAATCCCATCGATTTGCAGCGTCTAGATGGGTTTCACAAGAGAGAAGAATAGATACCTTTGAGAAGAAAAGAACCAAAAAAAATAGAGAGAATATCAATTATTGAGTTAAGGATGATCGTGGTTGATGGAAGTGTTGTGGGTGTCGGTTTCAGCAGGGTACAGGAGAGAGAAAGAAGAAGGTTAAAAAAACTTTTACACAGTATTACGGTGTATCTAAAATACAGTAATTTGTTGGGTATGTGCTATTTATCTGTTTCTTGCTATGATTTTCATATGGGGAATTATTTTTTATTGGTTTCTCTGTGATGGACTTGATTTTTGTAAATTAGGTCTTAAACCGATTCCAATCAAATGTTTATGGTTATTGAAATATCTTCTCAATTTAGTCTTTTTTTGGAAAGTTATAATCATTTAATGTGATTTTTCCATCTATCTTAAGAAATTGATTGAGTACTTTGTGAAAATGGGTCATTTCATTTTTTGTAGGTGTGAAGTTGTGCTAGCAAATAGAGAGGATAGAGGAACATGGCAACCGATTCTAGTGCACCAGGTCTAGGAAATGAGAAAGCCGGAACCCCAGGTAAAATTTTATACAATCATATGCTTCCTTTTTGTTGGTCTAATAAGGGTGAGGACCTTAAACTTTCTTTTATCCCATCCCAAGCCCAGCCAAAGGAGGTGGGTTACATAAATTTGGCAGCCAGTGTAAAATTTTCCCACATCTTATCATATGAATCATGAACCTATTTTATATGAATAGAGGAGCAAGATTCATGTAGCCGACCCCAAATAATTGGGATATGATGTTTCCTTTTTGTATTTAATTAATGAACTTCTCCATGGTTGCTGAGTTCAAACTGCAAACTAGGTTTGAGATGTAAATGCACATAAGTGAGAATTAGTAGCTCTTAGTAACTTTCTCTCTTATCATCTCAAATTTGTTTTGTTTGGCATTCCAATTCCATATATGGCATTCTCTCTTCATGGAACACTATATATAGAGCCCTGCCTTCGCCACCTAATTGTTGTCTTTGGGGCGCCTTAATTATGATGCACCCATCTAGGTAGTGCCTTTCGCATTCTTAAATCTTGAGAACAAAAGACATCATGGATTGTTGTCGCTTCATGTTAGATGAACTTTGGATATGACATTTGCAGTGTGGCAGTACTTTTTGGCCCTAATTTTCCAATTTGTTTGGTTCTTTAGTGTGCTTAAAGGTCTTCCACATTGTAAGTACTTAGGGCTCTTCCGTCCATTTGTTTTTTTGTTATATTATTAGATCATGTTTGTATACCATGATTTGCATTTGTTTCTGTGATATGCAAAATATCTTAAAGCAGTTTCTAAATGCATTGATGCACTTATATGTACTTTTATATTGATGTCCTTGTATGTTGCAATTAGGTAGGTATAATAAGCATATTGTCAAACGTATACCAGGTCTTGAATGTATGGACTCTATAGTTTACAAATGAAAACTTTAAGTCAACATTAGCTTTGCCCCCATGTTGGAAAAACTGGGCGATCTAACTGGTGACCGCCCGGTTAGATCAGAACTGGCCACTGATTGGTTCCGGTTTCGGGCGGTTTGGTGATCAACCTGTTTTTTTTAAAAAAAATTCAAAAAAAAATGTATATAAAATCCCAAACACAAGGAATTTGGTTTGTAATACATTTTTTAATATTCTTTACATTATGGCAAAGATTAGAAAAATTCATTAATACTCACATTTATATTTTCCCATCTTTTTCAAATTTTTGTTAAAATACCACTAGGTACCAATTGATTCTTTAAAATTCATTTTTTTCATTAATTTTCAACTTCATTTGAATGTGTTTTGTTTAATCATTCTTTATATGATTTTCATATTTTAGTAGATTTTTTTTGTATCTTTTTTATTTTTCTCAACAATTTTTTGACCACCCGGGACATGTCCTGTTAGAACAGCTGCATCGGCTGATTTATCGGTTAGGCTGGTTAAACCGCCTCCGGCCCCATGTCCTGTTAACTGTTCCGGTTCGATTTTGTGAACATTGCTTTGCCTTGATTATGATAGGGTATCGTGGCCTTCCCTTGGACTAGTTTGATTTTTTTTTAGGCAAACTTGAGATTTGTTTAATGATGCACTTTGGTATTTTATATTTTGTATTTTTTTCAGTGAAACTAGAATTATTTGACCTTTTGGTTTCTTTTAGTTGTCTTGGGTTATTTATGTCTTTTGGTGTTGTAGAGAATTCATGGGTAGTTTACTATTTTTATTGTTCGATTTTAAGGGTTATTCGGATGATTGTGTAAGTTTGTATAAAAGGGGATAGAGGGACGTCTAGCCCCTAGGTGACTATTTTGTTTTTGAGAAATTTTTGAGAGAGATAAAAAAAAAGGACTTGCTTATTCCTGTGATTGAAGATAAAGTTATTCTTTAATTCTCGCTTATCTTCTTTTCTCATCTTCTTTCCCTTTCTTCCCTTTTCTTTCCTTAAATTCTTTTGTCCTCCCCTTTCTTTTCACCTATTCCCTTTTCTTTCCCTTAATTTTTTCGTCTATTCTTTCTTCCCCCCTCCCTTCTTCCTTTTACTTTCTTCCATTTTTTTCCTAAATTTTTTTGTCCGCTCTTTTCATTTTGCTGCTCTTTTATTTGCCTTTTAAATACTTTTGCCCTCATCCACCTTATTTTCTTATTTTCTCTTTTCCCTTATTATTTGATTCTTCTCTCTTTCTCGCTTCTTTTTTGTTATCTGTTTATATTTTTGCCTTACAAATGAACCTCCCCCATTCCTAAATTTTACTCCTAACCCAACACCCTAGAGCTAAATCACGGGTGTCCTGCTGCAACTAACTAAAGCTATTCATCTTCTTCACTTTGGGCTGTGCTCTAGCCTTAGGCTTGATTGGAATCTGATTTTGTTCGAGAGGTTTCAATTCATTTCGGATAGTGAACCTCACCTCCTTGGCATTAAAACGAATTCGTCGATTGCATGTTTGATTTAAGAACAGCTGCTTAATTTTAGGGTCTTGTATCCGAAGATTAGTGAGTGGAAAATCATAGGTTGCATCAAATTACCAAAACGACAAAGATAGCTTTGCCCTTCTTAATAGGGTAGAGCTTTTACAACAACATGACAGGTGGGAGTTGATTTGCAAGATGAAACAGTCTTGTAAAGAATTGAAGAGTTATTATTTTATCATTGCGAGAGTGAATATCTTATAATTGTTAGTATTCATGGACTAGGCCCTATTTCATGATGGCAATAGTGAAATTAGATAGTTATCAAACCAGTGTGCCTTGTTTCTAAGATTCTTCTCATGAAGGGATCTAATCATGTATAGCTTGACATGTGAATTCGTGTTTCTTACATTTATTTTGAGAAAAGTAAGATTGGGCCTTATTATTATTTTTGGTTGTGGCATATATTCTCTATAATTTTGATGTATTATTGATTTTTATATTCTATACCTCATTGCTTTCTTGGATATGCTTCTAATGTTTTTTATTACAAAGATTAACTTTTTTTCTGGTATACAGGGGTGGAACCTTCTAAGCCAACAGGAGATTATGAGAATGGTGCTAATGTTGGGGCAACAAACGAAAATGGTGGTAAGTCAGTGTTTGTGAACTCAGAGCCAATGAGGGAAGACCAAGTGCAGAATGCTATCAAGTTCTTATCACATCCTAAAGTTCAAGGTTCTCCGGTCGTGTTTAGGCGTTCTTTCCTTGAAAGGAAGGGCCTGACAAAAGAGGAGATTGATGAAGCATTTCGTCGCGTACCTGTAAGCAAACTATTATTTGATGCTTGTGATATGTGCTCTAATTTTGTCTCAGTTAGAAGTCCTCATAAGTTGTTGTGTAAGATAATATTTTTCACGAAAATGCAGATTATTTATTCGTTGATATGGATATGAAAGCATACTATTATGGAGTGGACAATAGAAGTAGTCCTTCAGGGCATCACAATTCATTAAAATGGTGGTGATGTTTGTGAGAGAGTGGGACCCTTCAGAACATGACATGATCCTAATGGTTGGTCTCACTCTGTCTCCATCAGTGTCTATAATTTCAGTTGACAATGATGATTCAATGCACACGACAAGAAGGGATAGAATTGGAAATGAATACATTCTGGAGAACTTAGGTATGACTCCAATAGGTGATAAGATGAGAGAAAGTAGACTTAGGTGCGCTGGCCATGTGCAACGCAGACCCATTACAACCCATGTTAGGAGGTGCGAGTTGGTTCAAGTGGAAGGCTAAAAAGTTGTAAGGGGTAGGCCCAAAAGGACATGGTTGGAAGTAGTGAGAAAGATGTGGGTACTTATGACCTCACTGAGGGTATGACCCTTGATAGAGCAAAATGGCGAACTAGGATTCGTGTAGCTGATCCCAAATTGTTAAGAAAAGGCTCTGATGATGATAAATGATGATTCAATGCACTATGGTTTTTCCATAGTCTATTGTGTTATAGCATACTTCTTGTGTACACGCACACACACACACACACACACACACACACACACACACACACACACACACACACACACACACACACACACACACAGAGAGAGAGAGAGAGAGATGCTTGTACTTATGATGGTTGCTATAAATTCCAGGACCCTCCATCAAATGCCTCTACCACACAAGTTGCTACTTCTACCCAAGGTAATCCATTTTAGCAGGTATAGAGCTTTTATGCATTCTCCTAATAACTATATTCATACTTTTGTGGTCTCCAATGGACAAAGTGATGGATTGCCTCAGTTCATCAGAGTTGAACTCTCCAATCATAGATTTAGAATAATTTGTTGTGATATAATATTACTACTAAAGGGTATTTGATTTTCCTATTAATTCATTTTTCTTTGGCTTATAGAAGGGCAGTTGCAGTCTGCTCTTACTGTGCAGCCTCAGCCTCCCGTCCATACCTTACAGCCTGCTGCTGTTACAACAATGACAGTCCCAACACCTCAGAAGTCTGGATTTCAGTGGTCCCATATTGCTTTAGCCGTAGGATTGTTTGCTGCTTCAGGAGCTTGCACAGGTCTTCTTTTTAAGGTACTTTTTATCAAGGTTTCATAAAACGCTAGGCGGCCTGCTGGCCCTCAGCCCCTAGCGCCTAGGCGGGCGCCCAGAACCTCGGGTGCTCTATTGTGCAAATTCTTAGCATTTATCCAAATGCTCATATATGCATATATATTTGTGTCGAATTTTATAATTTATTCCATTTGAAAATATTGCAAGTACGCTATATACGTTTTTATATACCAACATATCACATCTTTCAGGTTGAGAATAAACTTATTCAAAACATTTTCAATCCATACAAAACATTTAAAAGTCTAATAGGCTATTGTAAGGTCTCCAACTCCATATTCCATATTCATAAAATAAACCATAGTAACATCCAAGTCTCCAACTCTCCAAGTCTTCAACAAACTGACCTCCAAAACTATAAAAAACCATTAAACCAACAACAAAATAGTCCAAAAAGGCAAAAAAAATATAAACCACATAACAAAATAAAAATAGTCCAAATGTCTAAAGCCCAAACCAAGATGGTGCAATAAAGTTACTACAAAAGAATAGAGAAGACATCAATAAGAATCAAAATCATCATCTTCATTGTGGTCATCTGCATCAGAATTGAGGCTGTCATCATCAGAATCATCACCCTCTTCAACATATTCCTCTTCTTCCAGAGATTCTTCTGAATCTGCTTCCTCTTCCTCTATCTCCCTCCGTGAAGTACCAGCAGAAGAAGTTCCTTGAGTCGCCCTCTTAGGATCAGAAGCTTGCCTCGGAGCCTCCTCGACCATTTCCCAATGCAAACCCTCCCCAGGGAAGACCTCCTCAATTCCAGGGTTACTAACTAGCCAATCTGAAGCATTCTCCATGTCTTTCGAAGAGGTAGGATCCTTCTTTGGCTGGTTTTCTTCTCCTTGAGCTTTTGATTCTCTCTAACAAAAACCAAGTCATTGAGCTTCTTTTGCTCAAGCCTATTTCTTCTCTTTGTATGCACCTATAAGGAAAAATGCATAAGTAACTACTATGAGTCTATGGTCTTTTTACCTTCTATGAATCTATATTACAAAATGAACTTATATTCTTCTAAACAAGCAAAACATATAAAATTGTAAAATAGTAAAATACCATCTCAAACGAACTCCAATTGCGCGCCCAATCAGAAGAGGTAGTTGTTAAACTCAAGATCCGTATAGCCATCTTCTGGAGGTTTGGAGTGTTACTCCCATGTTGTCTCCACCATTGGGCTGCAATATGTGGGCAACCTTTATAATTAATTTTAAGTATTTAACATTATCAAAACTTGAAAGTTGAAACTTAAAAGAAAATTATAATTTATAAAACAAAAGTCAAAAGTATAAAACAAAAGTCAAAATTATAAAACAAAGTAAAAAGTATACTACTTGGTTCGTCTTTGTTTCACTGTTTTAATGCCATATCTTTCCCAAATGACATCAAAGAACACTTGTATGAAATTAGCTCTTCAGTTGATATCTTATCTTGGATATGTGGATCGGGAACTAATTTCTCAAGCCATTCATTAAAACCTTCCATAATTAACCCTTTTGACTCATTATCCGCATCTGCATAAAAGAATTTGGGGTTCAAGTAGTACCCCGCTGTATGCAATGGTCTATGGAGCTGCCTATCCCATTTGTCATCTATAATCTCTCAAATTGGGGCATACTTGGTTGCATCATTTGCCCAAATTCTCTGCAATCTCGTTCTTAGCCCTTTCCATTGCATCATATATAAAGCCCATGGAAGGCTTAACAGCATCAACCAAGTGCAAGACCTTCACCAAGGGAAGAAATACTAATATTACATGCTTCACCCCATGCAAAAAATATTTCGAAAGAACAATATCCCGTGCCTTCTTCATCTCTGGACCACTTACACCTACTCTACTCCTTTGAAGCAAACATAGACCTTAATGCGATCCTCCTCTTATACATGCTCCGTAAACTGAGGTCGGCAGTGACAAATCTAGTGACCCCAGGCCTCACTAGCTCTATCTTTTTTTGTAAACTTGTGCATCATGCTAAAGGTAAGTATGCGATTGTATATGAAGATTGTGACCTCCTTAGCCTTAAAAATAATTCTTTTAATAGTAGGCAATTTATCAATGGCCTCAAGCATAAGATCTACGCAATGTGCTGTGCAAGTAATCCAAAATATGCGAGGCCTCTTCTATCGAAGCAAATGACCTGCAGCTAGATTGGGAGCGGCATTATCCGTGACCACCAGTGTTTCAAAAAGCACTAGGCGGGTCCTAGGTGGATTGGGGGGTCCAGGCCGCCCAATGCCTACGTTGGTCGCCTAGAACTTGGGTGGCTCAGTTGAATCCAAATAAGAATTCTGTAGTTATTTGAGTATCAGATAGTTATATTCAAATTATATTACATATTAGCATTTAGCACACATTCCATAAGCATAACCATAATCCATAAGTCGATTCATACTCCATATCCATATCCAATTAAAACTTAAAATATTCCAACGAACCAAATTATAAAACTATGAAAGTAATACTTGAAGACTCAAAAGAATCTTCAATAGTTCAAATGCTCAATACACAATACTTCAATCAAAGTTCAAACTTCAAAGTAACAAAGTTGAATAATTATTCAACAATCAACATTCATTCATGATCAGAAAATCTTGGGTCAGCTGCATTGGCATCATATTCATCGGAGTCGACGGAGTTGTCACCCTCCTCGACATATTGCGACTCGTCTTCCTCTGTCTCTTGTGAATCTGCCTCTTCTTCCTCCTCTTCCTCCACCCTTGTTCTTTGTACAGAAGCTCTAGTAATCCTAAGAGCGTCAACTGATGTTCTTGAAGCATCCATGACATGTCCCATGTCAATCCTTCATGTCCCTCGACTTCATCATCATCAACTAACCACGCCATAACATTGTCCATATTTTTTGATCTGATGGGGTCTCTATTATCTCTCTTAGCAAATCTGTCTTTCAATAATCGATTGTACTTTGACATAGACAAAGTCATTGAGCTTCTTTGATTCAAGTCTGTTCTTTTTCTTTGTGTGAACCTAACAACATAAAATGAAAGTGAACTAATTAAAATCTAATATCTATGGTTCACATGTTATTTATACAATTATACAAATTACCCTTATGGCCTAACCTCTTCAAAAGTACTCCAATTGCGCTCACAACTGGATGAAGTGGTTAGGTTTAAGATCCAAATGGCCAACTTTTGTTAATTTGGAGAACTATGCCCATGTTGGCTCCACCAATGGGCTGCAAAGAAAGAAAAAAAATCATAAATAAATAATAGAAATACTTGATTACTTGAACAGTTGAACTTGATGAAGATGAACTTAAGAATATTATTAATATAATAATATTTAATACCTGGATTAATTTTTGGTC